GCAATAATATATGTGGGAATCGTATCTGCAGTGTTTGCAAATGATGGACAAAGGAAACCTGTGTTTGTATTTTTCTTGCCTGAACAGCTTTTCTGGCTTTCCTTTTTTCCTTTCATGGATTTGGAACACGACACAAAGATCACATACTTTTTTCATTGTTTTTTGAATGAGTGATGAAACAGTACTGAGGTCGCTGTTCAAATTGGAAATGCATGCAGGAGGCTGGAGTGGATCTTCGTGATTGATCACGTGCATGCCATGAACAAGAAGGCCTACCCAGTACATACAGTATTTGTCAATATCTGGATTCATAGGAAGCAGTGTGTACCACAGTGTACAAGTTTCAAAAGTTTTGTAGTTTAGGTTTGGTACAGAAAAATTCCCCAGATATTATCCAAATTAACTGAACCTCAAGTAGTTGGGGAAAAAAAATAAAATGCAAGCACTGAACACAAACAATATCAAGTGCCTCAGTGCTTCAAGCTTCTGTCTGTGATGGAAGTACTCAGAAGTTGATTTTCTTTCATTTTTGTCCCCATCTAACTGTTCTACTTCCAATGATTCTAACTGATAGCATAGGACCTGATTTTGCACTAGGTGAAGACAGTGCTGATTTTTAGTTGATTTTGATGATCGCTGGGTGGGAGAAACACACTTAATAGAACGCTGTTAGGGCTGCACGTTAAAAGGCAAACAGTGATGGCAGTAGAACTGTACAAATATTCCATGTGGTAAAGAAAATCAATAAATGTCTGGATTAATCGGTTATTCACAGGAGTTTGTTAGGTTTCTTTAATCTGGTTTGAAATATGACAGAATGGAATTAGTTTCCAAGGATTGCATACATACACTGCTGAAGAAGGTGTCCCTTTGTTTAGCACAGCCAAGTGCAGCTCCCTATAAAAGTTCTGCTTTTGTCTTTAGGAAGCAGCAGATGCAAATGGTTTCACAATACTTAGAGCATTGGCATCCCACAATATTTGTCTACTGTAAAAACATATCACTGGAGATGGAAGTGACAAAGATAGGCAGGGCAATGTAGGATCCTATTCTGTTCTGAATGACGGCTTGCCGATCTTGAACATTATCCATTGCCTCAGCCTCTCCCCTGTGGAGAGAGTTATATTTATATAAGTATGTAATAAACAAATGTAAATATATGGAGAGATTTATATTTATCCCCTATAAATGCCACATCTCCCTTCTCTGTGAGTTTAAACCTCCTTTTGTGCCACCAGTGAAGCATTAGAGTTTTTTTCATGTAAATTCCTTGAACTTGGATGTGAATTGGGAAAAAAATGTAGCTGGTAAGAGGCAGCTCTCAAAGCCTTTTCAGTAGCCATCTTCTCACGTGTTAATGCTACTCAGACCACTGGCTTTGGGCATACCTCTCTCACTGCTTCCTCCAACATCAATACTGGAAGGAGCATAACATCTGACCTCACTCCAAATGAAGCAGCCACGTTTTTCAGAAGTGTCTAAACTTCAGAAGAAAATACGTATTACTCGTTCTTTTGGGTGAATCGCAGTCCTTTTATACAGCTAAGGCTCTCTGAGCCCATTGGTTTGTGTCCCTGTTGCACATAGCTAAGGAACATGTCCTTGTATGCGTTTCCTGACTGGTAAAATATGGGGTTCATCTCCAGCAAGAGAGATGAGTTCCCTGAGGGGCTCTCAAAAGCATCAGTACCACTAGTTGTTTGCTGTGGGGATCTGCAGGTTTTTATGGGCCAAATTGATGGCTGAAGCAATTGGACACAACTCCATGACTTTTAGGAAGCTCACACTTCTGCGTGCCAGTGCTGAAGGTGGCATTGCTGCTGGTATTTACTGCACTGAAACTACAAGAACTTCTTGGTCCTTTGTGAAACCCCACTTCTGTATGCCTCTAGCATCTGACCAGAAAAGTGGGAAAAGGAACTCCATGTTACTAAATGGTTGCTGTAGGTCCCTTCCAACCGATGGTGGCTGTGCCTCTGCGAGAACGTATTTAAGAAGGAGAACCTTGGAGGAGCTGGAGTTGTGAGGAGGAGTTGCAAGAAGGACGCCTATGCAAACACTGAAGTCAGTGGAAGGAGGTGGAAGTGGGGGAGGTGTGCCAGAGCAAAGCACCCCTGTATCCTGTGGTGAGATGGCGGGGCCCCTCCCTGCAGCCCATGGAGGTCCACAGTGGAGCAGAGGCTGACCTGCAGCCTCAGGAGGAGCCCACATAGGTGCAGGTGGCTGCATCTGAAGGAGGCCAGGACTCTGAGGGAGATGCAGCCTCTGCTGTTGTATTTTGGTGCTGGGAGGACTGCAACAAGCAGGGATGACCCACACAGGGGCAGCAGGGGAACGACTGCATCCCATTATGGAGGACTGTCTCCAGTGAGGGGGACCTCACGCTGGAGCAGGTGAAGAATGTGAGGAGTCCTTCTCCTGAGGAGGAAGAAGTGGCAGGACTGACTGCACACCCCATTCCCTGCGCCACTGTGGGGGGGTGGGGGTAGGGGAGCAAAGCTGATGTAGGAAGAAGGGAGGGGTGGGGGGAAGGTGTTTTTAAGATGTGGCAATGCTTCACGCTGTCCTACTCTCTGTTAAGTGTTGTCTTTGTTAGCGTTTGAATTAAATGGATGTTCTTTTTCTTCTCCTAAGGAGTCTGTCTTTTGCCCATGGCCTTAATGGGTGAGCCACTCCTCCCTGTGCTTATCTCAATTCCCAAGCCTTTTGCTTCATTTTCTCCTTTCCATTCCTGAGGGGGCAGGGCCTGAGTTAACAAATGTGTGGTGCTCAGTTGCTCTCTGGGCTCAAACCACGACAGGCCCAAAAGCTATATGCAAGCATACCTTTCAAACACCATCTTAAAGTTTTTCCAGCTTTTACCATATAAGTTCCTGTAAACTCACAGGTGCATGTAAAGCACAAATTCTGTGCTCAATAGAATTTTTTTGTGTTAGAGACAAATCAGAAGAGTATTGAAGAAGCTTTTATGAGAAGGTTTTCCTGTTCCTGGGTTTTATGGTATTTTTAGTCTCTCTTGCAGTTTTACTGTTTTGGGAGGAAAGAGTGAAAATTTGTTCAGGCCTTCTGAGGGTCAAAAAGGTTTGACACAATTAAAAGTTTATAATAACTTAAGAAAATTCAAGCTGATTGATAGTTTAATGAATGAATGCTTATAAATGGTTAGAAATGAATCACAGATAATACTGTAACATCTGCCAGCTTTTTTAAATGATCAGATCATACTGCACAAATCAAGGTGCTCATTTAAAACTAGCTTTTCTGAAGGATGATGACTCACTTTTTCAGATGCATCACATACAGCTAGTCTTGTATCTAAACGCGGGTGCAACATACAGTTGCCTTGCTTTGTGCTGGGGACAGTCTTATTTTTCTCATTGCCTTGTATCTACCCTTACCTCACTCTCCAGACACATCAATCAGTTGTTCAAAACATCAGGGTGCTGGGGATAGGGAAGAGACTTATTTCAAGATGCTCAGATGTATTGCAGGAGATTCTTCTGGCTTTTCCCATCATCAACATTGATGGTACAAAATTGCAAAACAAGTAACATATGTTTTGATGGAATTAAATGTGAAACTGGAAAAGGTAACATGTCTCGAGTATAGGAAAGGTTTGCCAGATAAACCATTACACTTTAGAAATCTGTTGCTGTTAAAATAAAAAACATTTTTGAAAGAGTTCCATGTGGTCTTGTTTCCATTACCTACATATTCAAAAAAGAAATATCATTTGATTTCTGTTGAGTATAAGCAAACGTGTACAGCTAACAAATACTGTTATACCTCACCTCTCTAATAACCTCTACACTCAGCATTTAGTTTTTCTTATGTAGATCCTAGGATGCAAGAATTGTTCTGTCTTGCAAGTCCACACTCATCCTACTAGTTCTTTTTGCTTTTTCTTCTGTAGTAGTGTGTGAAAAAGAATTGCCTTCTACCAACCTATTCTCTGTTCGGTTAGAAAATAAAGCAAATAAAAGCTAAAGGAACAGAGAAGGACTAGGGAGTAAATGGGAAAGAGGGTTTCCCAGCAGCAAGCAGTATAGAAAGCCATCAGAGCCTTTGTCCATGACATGCATCTTGGCTGCAAAGAGATATTTTTCCGAGTGTTACAACCCTAAGGCAGAAAGCAATCCCTTGAAGCCAGAATTGCTGCTGAATGTGTCTCGGTCCTCCAGGTACCTTGATGCCACCTTCAGTTCTGCTCTGACATGGAGATGCAACAGCTAAATGGGTAACTTGTTCTCCTAGTTGTATCCACCCTGCTTTAGTCAACTTTATTTCTAGGCAGGGATTGTGTTTTGCTGTTTGTTTTCTTGTATTTAAATTAGCAGATTTTTGCAAGTTAGGAATGAAACAGCACAGCGGTTGTCTTGTGAGAGAGAGAGCTGGCAAAGTGCTCTGTTCTCTGGTCATAGCACAGAACAGATAGGTGTATGGTGACCAGTTTCCAGTCTGTAATCTTTCTGAAAAGCTAAAAATCTGCTGTGAATATTAAGTTGATCAAGTTTTGCTTTGGTTGTAGAGGTGTATCCCAAATAAACTGTGTGATAAGTAATAGCACTAAGTCTCATTCTTCCTACTTTAGTGCAGTAATTAGTATGTAGACAGTAGCATTGTGGAATGGCCAAACAAACCCACCCTTGTTTAAAAATAGGTGTCCAACAGCATTAAACTACTTTAGGATTGTGTGCATGAGGCTAGCAGATATGGCCCAGGACCTGTGGGAAAACCCTTGCAAAGTGGCAGCAGGAGACATGGGGGATACACAAGGGCATGTAGCTTGACACTGCATTTATATTTACTGCACTGCTGCCACGCTTGTGTTAAAAATATGCAATAATATTCAGTAATTTAAGTGCCTGAACCCCTAACAGAAGCCTGGCCCAGATAAAGTTGAAAATGTTTATATACTTTCTAAGTGTGTTTTTATACGGAAATCTGTGCACATACATATATTTCGATTCTTCATTTGTGGCCACCTTTGTGTTTTCCAGTCCATAATCTTCATTCGTGACCTAAATTTTCGTCGCCAGGAGGTGTCTGCATACATCGATTATGCACACAGACTGACAACAGATGATTTTGAAGTTTACTTTAGTGGGAAGAAAAAACTTTTCCCCCGGAACACTGATCTGAGGTATTTATCTTGACTTTGTTTACATTTATTTGCATTTAGGCAATATATAGAGAAAGATTTAAATCTTTTTTAGTAGGAAAGGGCTTATGACAATGTTTTTCACTGAAAGACAAACCCCATGGATCAGAATTAGTTGTGGAGAATGGCTTTAAGAAGGGTCCCTGTCAGATTTATTTAGTCTGGAGCATAAAATTTAACAAGGACATTAGAGTCATCACCTGTCCCCGCATCTCTCGTTACCTTGAGGAGTCTGTAAATAGCAACATGCTTTAATCAGTAAAAGCACACTTCTGGAGATGCTACAAGCCATATAGCTGCAGTCAGCAATTTCCAGAACATCTCTAGCTTTGCCCACTCTCCACAGAATCCAAGGTGGGATGCTTTCCTTTGAAAGTGGGCCACCTGGAGAGGTCTTCTGGTGGGCAAGTAAGACGTTGTGTTACTTGTGTCTAACAAGAAATATCATCAATGAGTTTTTCCACTGAAGACTGTGTTTTCCTTAAAATACATCCTATGCCCAAGTGCCTGGAGATACATATATGAGAGATGCTTGTGCACTTTGGTTCATGACGGCCAAGTTGAAGAGGCTTGGTGCAGCAAAGCTTGCAGTCTGACTGGGGCCTGGGACCATGCTTAGCGCTGAAGCAATGTGTGGTATGGCAGGCAGGTGCTGTTGGACACGGGGGAAGAGATGGCAAAAATTTCAGTGGGTTAGTGTTGTGAATCACTCTGGGAGTCTCCCCTTCCCACGCATTAGAAGGTAAGAACTGTCACCAGCTGGCTGCAGTGCTATGCGCGATTACTGTCTCCTGGTGAAAAGGTGTCCAGTACAAAGGAGGTAATGCATTTTCCTCATTTTCTGAGTGGTTTTCTGTAATGCAAATCTCTTCAAATACTGTTCAGTCAAACTCTGGTATGTGTTACAGAGTGAGAAAGCAGGAATGAGTGTTGGAGGGGACAAGTGGGCTGGTGAAGGTTTTCTGTTATTCGTTCACAGGACAGCAGATGTCAGTAACGAGGCAGAGATACTGAAATCTCTGCACTTCCTGAGATGGGAAGCAAAAATGAACTTAGTTTTCTGCTTTTAAATCACAGGGATGAACAGACAGTTGCTGTTTATGACTGAATTAAGATCAGGAATGAACATAAAATTGTGTTTTCTTTGTGTATTATGTCCTTTCTACATATTGGGATTTTATTAGTGACTCATAAATAAGTCTTTTGAAATCATTATCATCATATCCAATAAGAAATGTCACCGTTGTTTCCAGTAGGTGCACTTAGTCCTGGTTCTTCTGAGTTGAAAAAGTCTCATTTCATGTATGCTTCAACCTCTTTTTCCTTCCCTTCTGTCAAAACTAGCATACACTGCAAACTTCATGGACAGCTCAGTATGGTTCATTTTTTCTAGTGGTCAAATAAAGCTTCAGGTGATATTTCATTTAACCTCTTTGGGTTTTGGTTTGGTTTTTTGGGTGTTGTTGTTTTTTTTTTTTTTTAAAAAAAAAAAAAAAAAAGTGATGGGGGAGGATAGAGCACTGCTTATATATTGGTTTTTATAACTAGAATGTAACCCCTGCAAAACTGCATTTGAACTTTCCAGCTGAACATAAAGGGAAGTTAAGATAAAGCATACAAAGTGCCAGGAAGGCTAGTTTGTTTTGTTTATATATAGGTATGAATGTGTGCACTGGTATGAATGTGTGCACTGTAGTTAATGAGGTTCATATACAGATATATACATATATATATATATATATAACTACACCTGTATATGGTAAAGTCTTGGTACATTGTACACTGGCTAAAGAAGAAACCTTCAGTTGATTGTTAAATGCTGTGGTTCTTGATGCATCACATGTACAAAGTGGCTCTTCGTAAAAGGTCCCATCGTGTCACAGAAAATCTCTAACTACATTTATGTCTCCTGTGGTATGCTGGTCTTGACTGGGATAGAGTTAATTTTCTTCACAGTAGCTGGTATGGCGTAGTGTTTGGGATTTGTGCTGTAAACAGTGTTGATAATGCAGAGATGTTTATGTTATCGTGGAGCAGTACTCACACAGAGTCAGGGCCTATTCTGCTTCTCACCCCATCCCACTGGTGAGCAGGCTGGGGGTGCACAAGAAGCTGGGAGGGGACAGAGCTGGGACAGCTGACCCCAACTGAGCCAAGGGACATCCCAGACCATATGGCATCGTGCTCAGCAATATAAAGCTGGGGGAAGAAGAAGGAATGAGAGGACATTCAGAGTGATGGCATTTGCCTTCCCGAGTCACTGTTGGACATGATGGAGCCCTGCTGTCCTGGAGATGGCTGAGCAACTGCCTGCCCATTGGAAGTGGTGAATGAATTCCTTGTTGTGCTTCGCTTGTGTGCATGGCTTTTGCTCTTCTGATTCTCTCCCCATCCCACCACGGAGAGGGAGTGAGTGAGTGGTTGCGTGCAGCTTAGTTGCTGCCTGGAGTTAAACCATGACACATCGTCCACTGGAGTTGCCAAGCACCCCATTTTGTATTGGTTAGATGTCTTCAGAGCAGGACGTTTCATTCCCACTATGTCTGTCATGGCTAACGTATAGAGAATGTTATTGGACAGGTGGGGGACAGGTATGAATGAAGAAGCCCAGGAAGGAAAACTTAGCTAGTACTGTACTGATCTAAATTGACAGAGAATTTATGTCCCCTGAAAAGTTTTTTGTTGAGTAGGTAAAAGCATCCCGTTGAGTCTTAAATTTGAGCTTCACCTGCTGGATACCGTATCTGTAGTTGCATGCCAGGTTAAATACAGCTTTAGGATTAGACAAGTTGTAATTACATAGGCTGTCATCAAAACTGTCTTCAGCCATTCTTCAGGAAGTTAAAAAGAATTTTCTTACAGGTAATTGTACATTTAATGGTCATCCCTCATCTCAGTAGTGTTATTCCTCTGCTTCTTTGTTTTCTACCCAGCTTCTTCAAAATGTGTCAAGAATACTGTTTGTGAATGGGGATAATTTGACTGTATGGATAATTTTGTGCCTTCAGCTTTGAATCCCTTGTTGAGTGCTGAATCTTAAGTCTTTTCATCACATTTTTCTTCCCTGGATACTTAAGCATTTAGGCAGGTATAAGAATGTCCAACTATTGAAAGCATGTCTACTTCTCAGGCTGAAAGACTGGGTGAGTGTTTCTGTCAAAAATAGTTGTTCCTAAAAGTTGTCATTTCAGTCGAAGTTGTTCCAAAATGCTGTCACCTTAAAAAGCAAGTCAGTTTGGGAAACTGCCTCACTCACAGCTTTGCGAAGCCCTTGCTCTTGGTCATACTTACTCTTCATCACTTGGGAGATTGTAAATCCTGGATTTTGCAGGAGAGGTTAGCATCTTGTACAGAGCTATGAAATTATCTTTTAAATATGGAAATCCATACTTTGCTGCAACATATATTTTCCTTTCACTGTCTGAGGCTGTGAGAAGATATTAAATTTGGTCTTAAGTACTCTCTGCATCAGATTCTTGTTCACAGTACAAAGTAAAAAGACTGAACGATTAAGTTTATGTGATATTCATACTTTAAATCCGGTGGGTAATATCAGAGGCTCTTGTATTTGATCCCCGCGGTCCCTCTGAGTATTTTTGCCATTTTATTGCATTGCCCTATCAAGGGAGTATTATTTATATGATATAATCCTCATTTGGTTCCAGTTTATTAAATGAAAGGAATGTGTTAGGCAGTCAGTTCTTAAAGAGGTCTGGAATCTTGGCTGTAATTGAATCCATTCCCTCTCAGCTAATTTATGTAATCTGATGAGAAACAAGTGTAATACAATTTGTTCAAAGAAAATGGAGAATGTTCACTCTATGGAACCATACCAGAAAAGTTCCCTGAATGAAGAAGCGCAGCAGAAGACAAAGTTTGAGCTGCCTTTTGTCTGATCAGCCGTACTTTCAGCTCGTCACTTCATAGTGGAGGATGAAATGAACATCTTGCAGTAGAATTGTACTTCAATTTTGTGTGAATTCCTGCCTTGATTTTTCATTAGTTTTCTGTGGCAGCCTCCTAGATATGGTATTTTTGATATTGTACACTGTAGCATTTTATCCTCACACTTGGCTTGTGGTTGCAGTGTTTTCATTTTGTCTTACTAGTGTGCACATTCTTTTCTAAGGAAAAGGAGCCATTTACTGTAATGGCTTCAGGTAAGGATGCGTGGGTCCTAGATTTTCCCCTGAACTAATGGTCTGAAATCACTTACTTATCTCATCAGCAGTGAAACTCATTTGGTTTTGGCCCCAGCATGCATCAGTTTGAGCATGGGAGGTCCGGCATTCAGGGCTTTGTGGTGATGCACCTCATCTGCAACAGAAGTGCATCATGATACACGGGTGCTTTCAGACACGGCATGTTGTTCTTTGTTATTGGCAAGAACCATCCCATCAGCTTCTGCCCTTCTCCTCTTGTAGTTCAGCTGTGGTCTGTTTTGGCTGCAAGTGGGCGCAGCATTTGGCAGTCATTCATTAACTGGGGTTGGAATTCCCTCCCATTTTATTGTCAGGTATATTCTAAGATACCATCTGTTAATCTGTAAAGACCCGTAGGCCAAATCATGGCCAGCAGTACGTTCCTAAGTGTAGGGCATGAGGCAACTTCTCCCTTCCCTGCTGTACCCTGTACCCCACAGATTTGAGAGCAATTTACAGAAGACCGCTGCTCTACGCCATTTACCCAGGCAAGAGCTGAGAGGGAAGCAGTTGTATTTTCACGCTTTGTGGCATGGGCAGTCCCACTGTGCCAGGCAGAAGATGTGCAGAGAACTTCTCCTCCCCAAGGAGCAGGCGGTGAGAGCAGAACCAAACTCCAGCTGTGCCCCAGCTGTGTCCCAGGAGTGGGGAGGCAGCAGCGACCCACATGCAGGGGTTGTGGTAATCCCAGAATGCAGCCCGAAGCCTCTGGAAATCGTTTTTCCCCAGTCAGGGCATGCTCTGTGCCTGCCTGTAAATTAATTGATTACAGCAGCTAGA